ACTATGGATGGCAATCAACAACGGAGTTTCTCTCCCAACGAAGAAGGTGGGCAAGAAAAAGGTAAAGAAACTCGAGGAGGAATACAATGAAGAAGATATCAAGAAGGTGGAACAAGATGCAAAAGCTCTAAACCTTCTACTTTTTGCAATTGACGCGCAAGAAATTCAAAAGTTCTCCAGATATCAAACGGCTAAGAATCTATGGGATGGCATGCATGAGAAATACGAAACTCTACAAGGAGAAAAAGAAGTAACCCATATTTGTCTCATGGCCAATGAAGAAGAAGAGGTAAGTACTTCTAACTCTCATTCTTTTGAAGAATTACAAGAAGCTTTTAAAGAACTATTTGGTGAATTCAAGAAAGCTTCAAAAATTGCCAAAGAGGCTAAGGCTAAACTTCATGCTTTAGAAGAAGAAAATAAATTTTTAGAAAATGATAATCTTGACCTTAAAAATAAGATTAAGGCAATGAACGAAGCTTCTTCCTTTGACCAAAGTTCTACTTGTTCCTCTTGTGAATCTTTAAAAATAGAGAATGTAGAACTTAAGAGCACCATAGAAAAATTTAAGGTAGAAGAGCCTAAGAAACTTGGTGAAGAAGTTAAGAATGATAAACTATCTAGAAAAACAAATAATCCTAGGAATAACAAAATTAATTTTTGAAAGAATAAAAATAATAAGTTGAGACAACTTAGAAATGACTCTAAGATTTTTATAAATGATAAAAATAATTTGAGACAACCTAGAAATGAGTATAGGAACTTAATTAATAACTCTAGGAATAATGACTTTAGATCACCTAGAAAATTTTTGGCTCAACCTAGGCATATGCATAATCCAAATGTAGTTTGCCATTATTGCTGTAAGATAGGACACATAGCACCCGTTTGTTTTACCAAACACAGGGATTTGTTTTATAGCTATGATTATTATTTGCCTAACCCTCAAGGACCCAAACGTTTTTGGGTACCTAAAAATTATTTTTAGATGCATAAGTAGGTGTGTTTGAAGACTACATTTTTGTAGTGGATGCTCCAAGCACGAAACCTAATGATTTGCATCAAGGGGAATTTGGGGGGGATTGTTTTTGCTATAAACATGGTATCAGTTTCAGAGGGAACATACAACAATGATGTTTTGTATCAAACATCAATGCTCAGGGAGTACCTTTATTTTTTAAACTTTACTTAGAGCTTTTTGCTAATGCCAAAAGGGGGAAGTGTTTGGGTATATGCAACAAGTGAGGGGGAATCTTGTTTTCAAAGACGCAGGGGGAATTACCATTACTCTCTCTTTGAAAACCCAACTTGGCTTGCATATCCCCGCCATGGTTTGTCATTATCAAAAAAGGGGAAATTGTTGGAAAACATTTTCACTTTGACATTTTGCTAATGACAATGTTTGTTTCCGTTTAGGTTTTGATATTGACAAACCATTGGGAACATGGAACAAGATCAAAAGATTCAAAGAGATAGAAAAAGTTTTTTGAAGAAACAAAAAGCACAAGAAAGGCATTGACGTTGCTAAAGATGTCGACATTGGCGCTTTGAAGACGTATTCTAAAGACTTAGGTTTTATTGTAACAAGCTCATTCAATTTCTCTACGTCATGGCTCAAAACAAAATATGTTTTTTCATGCATCAAATTAGTGTTTTCACAAATGGTTTTTAAGTTTCTAAAACCCATGGTTCTTGCTTAACAAAAACCATAACCATCGGTTATCGGCGTTCGGCTATGGCGTTCGATTTTCGGCATTGGTTATTGGCATTGATTTTAACCAAATGGTTTTTGGGTTTTTATCTTTGGTTTATGCTTCTGGACACATTTAAAGGTTTTCCAAATGATTAGTTTTCAAAAACCATAACCTTTGTTTTTCGGCGTTGGTTATCGGCATTCGGCGCCGGTTATCGGTGTTGGTTTTTGGTGCCCAAATCAATCAAGTGGTTTTTAAGATTTTATGATTG